AATAATACCCTGCACATGGTGCTTGGCTTGCTGCTTCCTTGTGCCTGTGAGTGAGCATTCTGACACATCTAAGTGAGTCGCAGAGGGCAGCAGCAAGGCTCTTGATGAGCAGCAAATGGTTTATCAAATTCCAATTCCCCTGCATCCAAGGATGTGCTGTGCATTTCAGTGACAAATCAATCAGTTTAATCTAAAGTTTTCACAGGAAGAGGCAGGATCCTTTGAGGGCACCACATTTTTCTTTCTTTCTTTTTTTGGAGACAGGTTCTCGCTCTGTCACCCAGGCTGGAGTGCAGTGGCATGATCACAGCTTACTGTAGCCTTGACCTCCCAGACTCAAGTGATTCTCCTGAGTAGCTGGGACCATGGGTGCACACTACCACTCCTGGCCAATTTTTTGTATTTTTTGTAGAGACGGGGTTTTTGTCATGTTGCCCGGGCTGGTCTTGAACTCCTGAGCTCAAGCCATCTGCTCACCTCAGCCTCCCAAAGTGCTAGGATTACAGACACGAACCACCATGCCCAGCGCTGTATTTCTTTATCTAGTTATTACATGTAAGAGATTATGCTAGGCAGTAACCAGTATCAAGTTTGTCAGATATTTTTGAAAACTATTAGGAGATTCCTCCTTTCCTACATCTGTATTCATCATGGACTCCTGGATTCTTATTAGGAGTTGAGTTGAGCAGTAGAACCTGCTAAAGGATGATCCTAATTACAGTCAACTGGTGGCTGAAGTTCTGACATTTCCTGTAATTTCAGAATCATGTCCAGGAATCACATCACCTTGTTATTCCTGTGGATTGACTTCTCTTAAAGCATATTTCTTAACATTTCTTTAGTAGTTGCCTCACCCGATATACATAACACTGGTGGATATTTTGTGACATCACCAAGATAACCACATCCTTTTATTCCCTAAACTTAACTTTCAACTAAATTGGACAGATGGGAAATGAAAGTTATGACACTTATGTCATTTTTTGACCATAGATACAAAATAAAATTTTATTTTGCACTATGAAGAGATAGGATTTAAATCCTGTATCAATATGGATATAGTGCAATTCAAATTGTCTTAAGAAGAATGTTCAGCTGAGTGACAAGTTTTCTAGGTGCTGTGAGACTCTCTTGCTCGCAATATTTCTGTGAATGTGGCTATAGGTTTTGTTGTCTTACTAAAACTGCAAATTGGTGACAAAGTAATCGACAGTAAGTATTATCTATTCATTCCCTGCTCAAACAACCATTTATTGCAGGTCTAATATATCCATGGTGTTGGGAGAGGAGCAACCTGTAACACAGGTATAAAACAATGCATAAAACATGGCTCTATCCTTAGGTAGCTGATTATATAAATCCAAAAAAGCATACTATTAAGAGTCATGACAGTGGCATAAAGTGCTAAAAGAGATCAGGAGAGAGATTTGACTTCAGGCTGGGTATGTTTCATGAAAGAGGCAGCGTTTGAACAGAAGTAGCAAGGATTCTTTCTGTCAAGGAGCGAGGATTTTTCTGTACCTTCGCGGGTACACATCCACATGACTGACATCACTATGAGAGGTTATCACTTCTCAAAAGACATTGTAAATTCTAACATTATGCCAAAGAACAAGGAACAGCTAGCTTCTGGCACTGGAGGATTCTAGGGAAAGCATAGCCCAGTGAAGAAAGAGTTCATTGTTTTATGACACTGAATGCCCAATTTCAGATATTTAATAGACTAATGGTTTGTTAACAAGACTGCTATTGGTTGCTTGCCATTTCCCTTCCTACCAATTACCATGAATTGCCCAAGGGGAGTATGTGTGAGGTATTTTACTGGCTTAGATGTACTTTACTGAAGAACCCAGACTTTTCCTCTCAAAATTCAGGTGAATTTTATAAGATACTACTTTGCAAATCCTTAACCAAGTGCCTTGACATTATGTTTGGGGTTGCAATAAATTAGCATGTTCATAAAATTTATTTTTATATGCTCTTTCTCATAACATATATAAAAAACTATATGTTTATGTATAGTTTTTGTGAGATCAATATGAAGTTTTTAAAGTTTAGTGTCTGCATAAGTAAACTACTGTCACAGCATAAACATTGCTCAACATTCAAAGTTTGTCTTCTGCTATCAATGTCCAAAAAAACGGCTCACTGAATCTTTAGTATGGTTACAAGTAGAACCACTAGCTCCTCCTAAGAGGAGCCTTTTCTTCTTATGCAGAAATGATAATGACAATTGTAATGTTAGCCCTTACTAAGGGCCAGGTACTGTTGTAAGCATTTTACCTAGGTTAATTTAAGGTCCTCACTATTATTATCTGCATCTTATAAATAAGCAAACTGGGAAACGAAAGGTTAAGAAATCTTTCCAAGATCACATGACCGGTCAGCAGAGAAAACAGAATGGAAACCTACTCCATGTACCCAGTTGCACTGCTAGGGTCCCTTCCTTTTGTGACCTAAGGAAACACCATTCCTAAGACACGGCTGCCACGAAACAAGGACTGTTATTTGAGATCACAGAGTGGATACCATTATGGCATGGCAGTGAGGCTTTTTTAAAAAATAATAATTATGGGCCAGGTACAGTGGCTCATACTTATAATCTTCACACTTTAGAGAGGCTGAGGTAGGAGGATTGCATGAGGCCAAGAGTTAAAGACCAGTCTGGGCAAGATAGTGAGACCCTATCTCTAAAAAAAAAAATTAAAAACTAAAAATTAGCCAGGCATGGTAGTACATGCCTGTAGTCCTAGCTACTAGGGAGGCTGAAGTGAAAGGATTGCTTGAGCCCAGGAGTTTGAAGCTGCAGTGAGCTAAGAAGGTGACACTGTACTCCATCCTGGGCAACACTGCAAGACCCCATCTCTAAAAAGTAATAATAATTATGCATCCCATCTAAGAATATTGCTCTTTTGGGAATATTGCTCTTTTGGATATAAAACATGACCAACTTTTATTGTAACTGCATGTAACAGTGGGCTAAGAGTGTCACACTCTGACCAGTAAATTTTAAAATCAAAGATATAAGGTGAATGGTAATTAGTTTTCTTACTTGGATCTAACTTTTCTGTGCTCTATCCCATTGGGTAGATGACAGGAAGTGACATATTTCAGGAGGGTCTTAAGAAATTTTTACTCCAACTATATTTTGCCTGGTGCCACAAAAATTGCAGGGGAGCTATTTAAAACCAGGGGAGTATCTTGAAAAAAGACACAGATGTGGTATCCTGGGTTAAACAACTGAAATGCGAAGTACTTAAAATTTTTAAAAGAAATTATGTACGAAACTGCAAATATATATTAATGAACTCCAATTTCTCACAACAGGAATAGAACCAAAGACCAGAGTATAGCATCCCACTAACTAATTATATATAATAATTGTTTTAATGAATAGGATAAATACATTTTTGGCTGCCTTGAGAAGCTAGAACTCTTCTTAGCATTTCCCATAAAATACTTATTTAGAACACTATTTACTGCCAGAAGATAAAATTTTGAAGTCATTTGAGGCCATCAAGGAATTCTAGTGTCAAAATCTTAACAAGTTTCCTTATTTTCTTACATATAGGGTATATGGTCTCAAGGTACAAACAGAACGTTACCATTGCTATGTTTACTGCACACAGCTAATAGTTTTAAGTCATTTCTAAACATTCTGATAAATTTACCACATTTCACCAAAACACAGTATATACTAAGAGCCCCAAATAAATCTGAGGCTTCTCACCCTTAGCAGCTCTGTGGGTCAAATCTTGACAACTATGAAGTGCTATCGAAGAGTCCTTTTTTCTCCCCTAAAGATAATAGAAGCTTAGACGTCTATTCTATAGTTTGGTGGAAGATGAAAATTGTACTGACTATATCTTGTACCTTTTCAAACTCTTTGTGGAAAGTTTAAAAACTTCAAATTTCATTGAGGAATAAAAAAATTATTTTGACATCTTGTTACTAGAATAAACTGAAATAATTTTTCTTGAAAACATAGTTCTAACGTCAGACATGTGTCACGGTTATAGAGCAATCTTTCATGCCACATTCCAAGTTACAGCAAATAGTACAACAATAAGGTAATAAATGTTTCCTCAATCTTCGTCATCATTAGTCATCTGAGTTACTGATACTGACTTTTAAAGGAATATCCCAGCAAATACAACATTACCTATCTTGAGAAAAAAAATCCAGTGGCTTAATTATAAGATTTTTTTTTAAAAAAACTTAATCTTAGATTATTTCAACAAAATAACCCTCACAGGGGACATATAATGTTTTTTGGAGAGAAGAAGCAGGAAAAAAACCAAAAAACAAAAAACTATCCCTGGAGCTTTAAATTTACATTTACCTTATTAAGCTTTTAAATCTTAAGAAATTAAAATTGCAGAATTCTAATTTCTCTAAGCACAACAGATAAGACCTAATATAGAAGGTTACTTGAGTTTGAAGGATAAAGAGTATTAATGCCTTAAAAAAATCAACATAAACATGACATTGAAGCAAACTGGCACAGTTCGACAAGTTTTAGAACATTAGCTCACAAAATGAATATACTTAAATTTAGACAAACACACAAATATAGCCTTTATCCAAAAATCACAGAGACAACCCTATATACTACCTATGTTAAAATGTTCAAAATACCTAACGCTATTACAGGCCTCAGGTTGCCAGAGTCCTGATAGAAAAGTCAGCACTGAGAACTATGCTTCACACAGCTTTGCGTGCATGCACACACTCTGCAATGTGGGAGAGACAGACACCGATCACCATCAAGATTGTCCTTACTTGCAGACGCACAAGTATCCTGCATGTTCCGATTCTGACTGGCACCTGGAGCAGCTCTACATGCCAGTCATCCCAATGTACTCAGGGATGTAAACACCTTATAATTAGAAAACGTGAAGGCGTCAAGGACGTTAGACAAATTTAAAACATATCCAAAGATTAATTTTTTAAAGGCATTAAAGAAATAACTCATTGCAAATTTCAATACGAGGATGTACCTGCTCCTTCACGGATGCTAGAATAGTGGTGGCTGTGGTCTCGGGTTCCATGCCTGGGCCAGTGGAGGCAGCTTCCTGGCGGGTCTGTGGTTGCCCCTCCTCCACCAATGAGGCCTGCTCAGGAGCTGGCATTCCTCCTGCAATCAAGCAGGCAAAGGGTTAACACTTTCTTCTGGGCTCCCTTGCAGGAACCGAGGATTTACAGATGGTTCCTAGCAACTACAGTAGACTATAGTCTACACACCATGATCAAAAGCTTGTTAAATTGCTAAATTTTCTAAATGGTAACCAATAAGTAAATATGACTAACTTATCAAGAAATTAAATAATAAACATTCTAGATTGCTATAGGGGTCTGTTTTCAAAGTAACATGCACACAATAAGACATCTACAAATGTTAACTGACATGAGAAGAATGTTTTACCAATCGCAGAAGAGGTTTTTGTAACAGAAAAGAAAAAAAGAGTTTAAAACCTAAAGAAGTCTTAAAAATAAAAGTCTGCTTATTTTAAAGAAATATAATATATTAATAACTAGCAACAAGTTCATCCTTGGTGGGGTCTTACAGCTAGCTTGGTTTCTTTAGAAGAATCTGATTATTCAAAGATAACAATGACTAGGAATGTGATGTTGAAAAGAAAATCTATTTTTTAGGCCCATAGCTTATGACAGAAGAATAGGTTCTTGGCAGGAGCCAGAGTGCCTTTCCTAAGACAACACATAGTGAGAGCAGTGTGTTTGTCAAGAGACTTACTGACCTGATATGGACTTTCTACAATTTTGGAAAACAGGGGGAATCGATGGTTAGCGTAAAGTGCTATTAAAATTTTAATAACTCATTTACATGTCAGTTTCTCTGTTTTCTTTTGAGTACAGTCTTTATCATACCACGAAACTAGTCAAGTACCTGGCATATTAAATGGTATTCAATTAATGTTCACTAAAATAAATGAATACATGAATGAAGGATGATATATTTTCATTGTCTCATTCCAGTCATTAGGTAAATTCTGCCAAGTCCTAAGATGTCCGAGAGACCCTATCTGTTTAGATGTGTCACATCGTATATTCAAATACGGACATCTGAGACTATAAACATTTTCCTCAACATTCTTCAGTTTTCTCTCGCAAATTACTCTACTATTATATATTTCAATTTAATCAATTAACTTCCATGGTCTTCAATTCTATAGTTGATCTGGGACTTGTTTCCCCATTCCCTCAAATTTCAGTATCAGTCTTCTGTTTCCAAAATAATAATCCGTAAGTAAAAGGGGAAATTACATGCCCTTTGAGCTCCCATCTTCTTCCCTACTCTCCTGGCTTCCATGTTAGTGGAGAGGGTCTAAGTTTCATGTTTCTGCTGGTGGTATTTTTATTCTTGTCATAGTAATAGGCATAAATGGACAGTGGATCTGATTAGTTTATCTGTGCATTTCCCCCGACACCAGCCTCATGAGTTCTCATGCCTGCTCCATCTAGCAAGTGAATTCTCAATCTCCCATTTTCACGGTGCATAAGGCCTAGATAGACTTTGAACTGCAGGATCTTCTCAGGTATGAATAGAAGGATCCTGAGACATGGAGATGAGTAGGATCAAAACCTAAGTGTCCTGGGTGGGGCGGGAGGTGGGGGGAGTTCTACCTCACTACCTCACCGATAAAAATGGCTAGTTCTTTATACAATGTAATAATTTTATGACAATCTATATTTTTTAGTGTATGTGGAATGTTTATTGAGATGTAAAACAAAATATTATCAACTGAATAAAATTTTCTTTCTCTATCAAGTGCTCATTAAAGAGAAGACATAAGCTCTATAAAGGAAAAAAATGCTACACAAAGATCCTAGATTAGCATTTAAGGCAAGTAAAGATATAAAAGTATTCTAGCCATTGAAAAATTACACACCTTAAAATAAGCAGATGGTTGCAAAGAACAAAAATGTTACTATGCAACAGTGAAACAAATAATGCCAAGAACCAAAAATTTTAAATGTCAAGAGTATAATATCATGAAACAACCACTGTGTAAGAAGAAAAAGAAAACGAAAAATTCAGTGAACAAAGAGAATTTGAGAAAAGGAGAAACAGAAATGTAATTGGGGAAGTAATTATTTATTAATATAGAAGGAGTCTTACTATTAAAAAGACCTAGAATTATATTATGGTATTACATCACTGTGAGGATATCATACTTAATTTCACAATACTTATCTTGCTGACCCTGCTTCCCAGGACCAATGAGCCCAGAGGAGCATTTTCTGAGTACCACTCTCCCAGGGACACTGACCATTAGGGGGCTCATCACCTAGCTGATGCAGCAACATAGGATCAAGGCAAAGTACAGCAAGATGTAAATGAAAAGTAGTAATGCTAAAGTCAAGAGGAGGAGGGTCAGAGACCTTGTAACTGTATAAAAGAAAGTAATATAATGCTGAGAAGCTTGGCTGGAGAGGAGATTTTCATAGACATGGATGATATCTATTCTGATTCCTCAAAGGTTAGGTCACATCACAGGTAGCCATGAACAGTCACCAGATGAGGAGCAAAGCCAATGGTACCTGTCATTACTAAGGGTGAGACACTTCCCTACCCCTTATCTCTGGAGCAGTCTCAATATGCCACAACCAACATGGGGCAGGGGAGCGGTAACACTGTGCTGACAAGTTATATGAAGGTTTCCTATCCATTTTCTCATAGTTTTCATAATTGTAAGATCATTTAATGAACTGGAAAGTATCAAGCTAAGACTGGAGTCACAGAATAATATTATTGCTCCATTCCACTAGCAAAAAAAAAAAAAAAAAAAGGACTTCTATTGTAAAGCGACTGTGAGAAATTAGGCCTCACACTTCCCTCAGTGACCTCAATTTGCCTGATTTGAGTGATCACATTCCGGAGAACTGGGAAAACTTACAGATAGGTTGCTGAATCACTTTTGAGGGTTCTACAGAGAATGAAGGCATGCCAGAAAACTGGAAGGAGGAAAATGCCATGGCTGTTTTTGGAAAAAGGGAAGGTAGACTCTTCACATGACAAACTACAGAGCTAGACACAGATCTTGGGTGAGATTCTTTAAACGATTTTATCCAAGAGGTGATTTGTGAGAAATAAAATGGGGCACCAAAGAAAAGTCATGTTAAGCTGGTTTAATGTCTGTCTGGGGCAGTGTAACCATGCAGTGTTGCCCAAACTCTAGTGGGGCGTATATGATATTAGAAGTCCCCCGTGACATTGTCATTAACATAGAAATGGGGCTGGAATAAGGGCAACTGCTGACTCCAACAATCTGTAAACAGTTGAATGAAATACATCAATCTATAGAGGTTTCTAATGTAATGCCAGAGTTCTGACCTTGACCCAACCCCACCAAATGTTTTAACCATGATATCAATACAAGTCATACACAAGTTCTTCAATGATGATGAAGAATATTGAATTTACCAGATGGAGATAAAATTAAAATACAAAAAATATACTGCTACACTGCAGTAATGAGCTGCCTCTGATGAGATTTAAAACAACAGGAATAAATACAAGGTCCTGTATTTAGGTTAGCTCAGCAGCATATTGGGAAATCAATGTAGGCATTTCAGGTTCAAGAGCAAAATGAGTGAATCATAAGTGAAACAAGACTGCCCAAACCTAAGGTGATCTTATGCTGTGTTGCTATAAATAATTAGGATGATAGGAAGGGCATAAGTGAGCTTACAACTTTCCTTCAGGCTCCTTGGGACATAACTACTTCCAGATAAGGGCGGCACATTAACAGGAATGGACACAGTGTACCCATTCAAGAGATGATGAGTGGGATGTTAAAGGGATCCAGTCATTTATTTCCAGGCAAGGGGACGGGGAGGATGTGAATGACACAGCTCCTGCTCTTTATGAGCTCAAAGCTCACTGGGAGACATGAGAGTGGTAGTTAATGGAACAAGAAGAGAAAATTTGACCTGAAGAAGAGAAGTCCAGCATTGACAAGCAGATGCCTATAAGCCTCTGAAGGAGGCTTTTTAGATTATAATCCCAAGAGCCAGACTAAAAATTAATGGTTTTGTAATAAATGTGTATTAACCTATATTATTACTGTCTTTATATTTGGAATCAAAATTAAAGGTTGGAACAATAACGGAGGGTTTTCCTTTTGGAGCTAATAGTCAAATGCTTAAAATTTCAAGAACTGACTGCCTCTGAAGGTGGCACACTCCCATGATGAGAGATCTTTAATCAGGGTCTGGATGATGATTGCAGGAGGGATAGTGTAGAAGGGATGCTGCACTGTGTGTGGCAGAAACAGTAAACTCTAAACCCTGAGGCCCACACTAAGATTAAACAAGTTCTAGATTCTAAACAGATGTGAATGTTCCTCAGGAGTTTTCAGAATGTTGTCTACTGTGTCACACTGTCTCTGTATCAGCCATCTGAAAGCCAGGACCTAGGCTTTTCCTAAGGGAATGGTGGATGCTATTGGAAACTGTAGCATTAGCTGGTTTTCTCTTTGGCTATACAAAGCTCAGAGATGAATCTGTGACCAGCTCTTACATGTGTGGGTATGCATATCTGTGTTCTCATTTTATCCTAGCCTTTACTTAATAAACGTTTTCTTTGCCCAGGTCTCTTTTTTTAAATCATACCATTAGACTAAATTCTTTTGAGGCTTCTAAGAAGCCTCCTCTGGGTTCATTGGTCCTGGGAAGCAGGGTCAGCAAGATAAATATTGTGAATTAAGTATGATATCCTCACAGTTTTAGAGGAGGGTTGACTATGAACAGCTGTGCATTTTCATCATAATCTTTATTGAACACGAGAGGCTCATATGTGAAACTGGCAGTATAATTGTGTGTATACGCATGCAAGTATCTTAATCTTATATTCAACTCTTAGTGATTAACATGCAATTTTTCTGCTCAAGGCTGCAGACTACATATACTCTAGTATGACTACTGAAGGCTTTTTTTGGCATATTATAGATGTAATATATAGGTGTAACCTATTATTCAATATGTATAATCTCTTTTACCACAGCTGATAATAGTCCACAAAATCATCTGTCTTAAATCTTCCAGGGATGGAAAATCAACTAAATACTGAATTTTTCTCTACTTAATTCCCTTCTACTCACCTTACTAATAATT